AAAATAAGTTACCCGGCAATTGATTTACACTAGCCAATCATACGAATGTCCGATTCAGATTCTTGATTATTATGAAATTCTCGAAATTGCAGACACTGCCACGATCGAGTAAGAAATGTTTTCCTAGTTCGTAAAAAAATTATTCGCGTTCTTTAACGGATCCTCAAAATTTATTTTGAAAGGGAAATTCGTGATGCGTACAAAAAGAAAGCCCTAGAAATACATCCAGACAGATTCCCACTGATTCAGCAATAAGCCCTGCGTTATCACAAGGCAAAGGTTCTCTTTCAGAACATTGCCGATGCTTATTATGTTCTTAGTGATGAAACACGAAGGGCAAAATATGGTACTTGTTAATATATGTGGCTTCTTCTGAATACATTAGTAATTGATGGCTTTGTAGATCGAGTAAGGGCTTCCAGAAAAAGAAAGGTAAACCTACATCGACTTGGCAGGTCAATCGAACTGATGCAAACCAAATCTTTGGTGACGTATTCGAAGAATTATTAAGATCTGAAGTGGAAACTCGCATTTGTTTTATGCTCCAATTGGTGCGGTTACTGGTGGGATGTTCCCGGATTGCCTATGCAGGAAATAAACTGGGGGCGATTAGAGATGTCAAAGATATATTAGTTTTTTATTATTAGTTTATAAGTTGGATCTAATTTTTAAACTTTGAATTCTTATCGAGAACATGTATGGGTTTATTCTATAGGTGTATCAGTATATTATGCTTATTCAAAATTATCTAGTAAACACAAAACCGCTATATTAGCCGCACTTGCAGCAAAATTAGTTACAAACGGCAGAATTTAATTATTAAGTTGGCCTCATATTAATATATATGAAGTTATTTATACACATATATGATAATGCCATCTCCTTATTTATTATCGAATTATTTTAAATCACAGTAATTTAATAACATATATGACATATAATATATTTTGATCAATTGAACAGTTATTGTTTGTATATTTGATTAAATGTTCTATTCTTTATAAATGAGTCCATTTATTGTCATAGATGTTTTGATTCGAAAACATAAGACTTGCTAAAAATCAAACTCTGATTCTAAGTCATAGCCTAACCCTAAAAAATGTACCTCAAAATTTTTTAAAAGTTGTATATTAAATAGGTCCAAAGTTCAGCACCATCCACTACAATTATTGAGCAATTCGTAGATATAGATAAATATAGATGGATATTAATAATTTTTAACTATTGCATCTAGTTATTTGCGTATACGTTAAATCTCTTCGATACAATTATTTATCAATCGAGACTGATTTAACTAAATTAATCGCGTTGCCAACTACAAAATAATAATTTCACATTATTTAATAGCTCAAGTATCCCAAAAGCCATTCGATAAACAATGGTTTGCCAATCTTAATGACAAAGAGTTAAAAACATTAAATTATAGGAATTTTAGACGGTTCCAATTAATTATGACTTCACGAAATCATAATAGACTATTAGGTCTTTGTATAATGCAACCTAATAGACCCGACTAAAGCAAAGTCATAGAGACGTAACCTAATAGACCTATTATATAAAAAATGTTAGCAAAGAGAATGATTAGTAGACCGGACAAATTTCTTTTTTGCATTCCAATTTCGGTTTCGAAGAAGCTAAAAAAGAGAATGTTTGATTCCGGTACATTAGAAAGAAGAACAAGAAAAAGGTAGTTACTTATTTCAAAAGTCCAGTTTCCAACTCCAATTCATGTTCCAAGAAAGAAAGACTAAGATCTAAAAAAAGCGAACGTTAACTCTGATAAACTAAAAATAAAAATAAAAATAAAATAAAAATAAAACAAAATGAAAAAAAAGCCGGGAACTTGTCTTAGAGATCAGCCAAGAAAGAAAGACCAAGACCTAAAGAGAATATTAGCCGGTATACTAGAAAGAACGAAAAGATATAAAAAACATGTGTAAACCAAAAGAAATAAGAAATCACATGCATCCTCTAACTAAGCCCCTTATTCACTAAATACCAATTATGCGTATTATACGCGACATATTTAGCTAGAATTGAACGCACAGCACTATGTAGGATCTACTAGTGCCACCGCTCAAAATCTCGAATAACAAGTACCTAGCCGGAGTTGAACGCAAGACCTCTCGTAAGCCAATCTAACAGCGCCCCCGCCAAAACCGTCCGAGCCATGCAAGGATTAATATGTTTTTTTGCGGTTATAATATTTCTTAAACCAAATGTTTGAGTTACCAATTTGTGTAACCAAATTATTCAATTAAATCTTATCGTGAAATCTAAACATCCTATTGGCTAATTACCCTAAATCTAACCACGGAACTTTTTTTTTTTATCATGTAATAGTTTAAAAAATTTGTTAATGTTTAAACTAGGGTTAGAAATGAGTAGATATATAAAAAAATAAGAAATTTTATAAAAAAACTGTTTTTAAACAAAATTTTGAGTCAAAAGCGTTTTTTATAATTTTTACCTATTTGATATATTACTTATAAGGTTATATATATTATTAAAAAATCAAACAACAATAATATTGCGTTAGTTTAAGGTTAGAATCAGCATTAGGCTGAAGTTAAACATAACTTTAGTGAAGTATTTTTACTTTAAAATTTAGCAAAAAATTTTTTTAATTAGAACGTAAAAGGATTTTATAATCAAATTCTTGAGTTATAGCTAATGTTTTTAAAAAAATATTTTGTTTCAATTTCACATTATACCAGATCTTGCATCCTAATTGTTGATTAGAGGTGATAATACATTGCTATAGTAAAAAATTCAATGTTTTTTTAAAAAAATCTGTTTTAGAAAGTATATCCTGTATTTTTAATTTTTTTTTTTTTTTGGTATTAAGGTGAGACCTTGCTCATATCTTTATTAGTAATTTTAGTTGTACATATTAATATACTATATATTAAAGATATACTAAGATTGTAAAATACAAAATAAAAACTACATGCAAGAATTAAAGCTAGACAACTTTATCTGCGACCTAAACCGAATCCTGTATTTTTAATAAATTTCTAATTTTCTGTTATTTTAATAATTATTAACCAATATATATATATTGGTATGTTTTTTAATATGTTTTTTGATATTTATTATTTCATTTTTTTTGTTATTTTGTAGTAATGTTCTCTAATAAGTTTAATAATCTATATTTTTTAATTTTTTTTTATTTGTTATAAAAGTTTTTTATATAATTGTTTTTTGAGTTTTTAGGTATTTATTTGTATATATATTTTTTAAAATTCCTTCTAATATTTTTTTATTAGTTTTTTTAAATGTTTTTTAGTAGTTTACTTCTAGCATACTTCAGTGATATTTTTTAAAGATTTCTTAGATTTTGTTTTTCCTTTATATTATTATTAAAATTAAGATATAAAAAAAGTTTGATTAATTTTAAATATGTATTAAAAAATATTTTGAAAGGGAAATTCGTAGTGCGTACAAAAAGAAAGCCCTAGAAACACATCCAGACAGATTCCAACTGATTTAGCAAAAAGCTCTGCATTATCACAAGAGAAGGCAAAGGTTCTCTTTTAGAACATTGCCGATGCTTACTATGTTCTTAGTGATGAAACACGAAGAGCACAATATGGTACTTGTTTAATAAATTTGGCTTCTTCTGAATTCATTAGTAATTGATGGCTTTGTAGATCGAGTAAGGGCTTCCAGAAAAAGAAAGGTGAACCTACATCGACTTGGTAGGTCAATCGAACTGATGCAAACCAAATCTTTGGTGACGTATTCGGAGAATTATTAAGATCTGAAGTGGAAACCCGCATTGGTTTTATACTCCAATTGGTGCGGTTACTGGTAGGATGTTGGGTTTTATTTTTGGTAATGTTCCCGGATTGCCTATGCAGGAAATAAACTGGGGGCGATTAGAGATGCCAAAGATATATTAATTTTTTTTATTAATTTATAAGTTGGACCTAATTTTTAAACTTTAGATTCTTATTAAGAACATGTATGGGTTTATTCTATAGGTGTATCAGTATATGATGCTCATTAAAATCATCTAGTAATCACAAGATCGCTATATTAGCCGCACTTGCAGCAAAATTAGTTACAAACGGCAGAATTTAATTATAAAGTTGGCCTCATATTAATATATATGAAGTTATTTATACACATATATGATAATGCCATCTCCTTATTTATTATCGAATTATTTTAAATCACAGTAATTTAATAACATATATGACATATAATATATTGATCAATTGAACAGTTGTTGTTTGTATATTTGATTAAATGTTCTATTCTTTATAAATGAGTCCATTTATCGTCATAGATGTTTTAATTCGAAAACATAAGACTTGCTAAAATCAAAATCTGATTCTAAGTCATAACCTAACCCTAAAAAATGTACCTCAAATTTTTTAAAAGTTGTATATTAAATAGGTCCAATCATCCACTACAATTATTGAGTAATTCGTATATATAGGTAGATATTGATGGATATTGATAATTTTAACTATTACATCTAGTTATTTGCGTATACATTAAATCTCTACGATACAATTATTTATCAATCAAGACTGATTTAATTAAATTAATCGCATTGCCAACTACAAAATAATAAATTTACATTATTTAATAGCTCAAGTATCCTAAAGCCACTCGATAAACAATGGTTTGCCAAACTTAATGACAAAGAGTTAAAAACATTAAACTATAAAGTTTATTCAGTCAGATTCCCTAAATACACTCCATAAATGCACGCACTGTGTAAATTCTCTCTAAATGCACAGTATAGATTGAATTCATTTCCCAAGAGCTCTATACATTTTGTTCTTCATAAATGCCGAACTCAATCTACCTTTTGACATTTGTTCAGTTCGGAATTCGAATAAAACCCGAACTTAGCACAAAGGGGTTAGTAGAAACATTAATATTGACTGAATTAAACGATTAATATAGTTAACTTATAGGAATTTTAGACGGTTCCAATTCATTATGACTTCACGATATTGTAATAGACATTAGGTCATTGTACAATGCAACCTAGAGACGTAACCTAATAGACCTATTATATAAAAAACGGTAGCAAAGAGAATGATTAGTAGACCGGACAAAATTCTTTTTTGCATTTCAGTTTCCGGTTTCGAACCAGCGAAGAGAAACTAAAAAAGAGAATGTTGGATTCCGGTACATTAGAAAGAAGAACAAGAAAAAGGTAATTAGTTACTTATTTCAAAAGTCCTCCAATTTATGTTCCAAGAAAGAAAGACCAAGATCTAAAAAAGCGAATGTTAACTCCGGTAAGTTAAAAAGAAAAATAAATAAAAAATAAATAAAATAAATAAATAAAATAAAAATAAATAAATAAAAAACCGGGAACTTGCCTTAGAGATCAGCCAAAAAAGAAAGACTAAGACTTAAAGAAGAGAATATTAGCACCGATATGCTAGAATGAACAAAAATATATATATATATACTTATCTCAAAAACCAACTATCAGTCACGTTTTAATCTTCGATTAAAGAAAAAAGATGTATGTAAACTAAAAGAAATAAGAAATCACATGCATAACTCTACTAAGTCCTATCATTCACTAATTACCAATTATACGTAATATACGAGAGATATTAGCCGGAATTGAACGCAAGCCCTAGCAGTCCTGGGATCTACTAGTGTGCGACCGCCCAAAACCTATGAATAATGGTACTTAGCCGGAAATGAACGCAAAGCTGCTCATAGGCCAATCTAACAGTGCCACCGTTAAAACCGTCGAGCTATGCAGGATTGACATGTTTTTTTGTGAATATAATACAGTAATACTCCTTAAATAAATGTTTGTGTTACCAATTAAATTTTATCGTGAAATCTAAACATCCTATTGGCTAATCATAACCACGCAACTCTTTTTCATAATGTAATAGTTAACAAATTTCTTAAAGTTCTGTTACGTTAGAGTTAAAGGTTAAACTAGGGTTAGAAATGAGTAGATATATAGAAAATTACCCAAGAAATTTTTACAAAAAACTGGATGTGGATCGGTGATCAGATAATGACGGAATAGCCACTGGCTGCGAAGCAGCCATGTGCCATTTTATCCGCTTGCGGGGATAATAACTTTTATCCGACTTTTTATATGTAATGTGAATTTTTTTTTATAATGATATTTTTGGCACGAGATTACGCAATCATTTGTGCAAAAATGCCGGATAACATCAATATACGATACTTTTTTTCATCGGAGTTAATTTCACTCATGTGCTGCTACGCAGCAAATGGAGTGACTTTAACTCTGATGAAAAATTTTTTCATCTACTGCCCAATATTGTCATTTGAAGTGCGCGCTATTTCGGGACGCGCATGGGCGTTATTTTGAAACTGTTATTTTGAGGTACGATTTTCATATAACGCCATGCCCGATAGGGTTGTGGGCACGGGACACGAGGCATGTCTTTTGGGCATGCCCACTAGGCATGCCTCTTTCACGTGATAATTAATATTTAATTATGTAGTAATGTGACACGCTGATTGGCTATTGATAAAACGTTGGGCTAAATAAACACATTGATACATAAATCCGAAATACTGATTAATAAGTAAACCTGTTCGATGCATTTATTACTTTATTTTATGGTATCATTTTATATGTATTAGAAGCATACACCTGATGCATCTAATTGTAAATGAATATATTTATAAGACGATATTATAGGAAATTAATAAATTTTATAAATTGTTTGATTATAAGTAACATACTGTATATATTAGTTGTATATTTCTTTAATAAAGTAAATGTATTTAGTGGTAATTTTATAAGAATTTTTATTGAAATAGCCACCAACACAGCTTATCGACGCAGCTAATGGTAACGACACAGCATGGCCAGCACTATAGTTAAGGTTAGTGTTAGAATGTGATAAAATTAGGTATTTCACATGCCCAAAAATTTTCCCGTACCCACAACCCGATATTTCGAGAATTTACAGTAACTTCAACTGCCTAAAGTTGTAACTTTAGGCAAGTGTTAACTTCAAGCACGGCACAAACCTAAAATACGAGCAAGGTTGAGTAGTAATCCAAATCGTTAGTTAATTAACAACTAGTCGATTAATTGATTTTTTAAAAATTTTAAAAACAGTTAATCGATTAACTATCAATTGAATCAACTACATTTGGTTGTTAATCGTCAACAATATAACTAATATTAGATTAATCAACTAAATATCGGATAATTATGTACACGGACATGGATGATTTTATCTAGTGTAACCGTTATTGGAGAGCAGATAACAAATTATAGAGAACAAGGCCAATTTAGCTCTAACAGTGTACGGGTGGATAATGGAAAACGTTATTAGGCGAGAGAGGTCTTTTATAACGGTTAGAAAACTATCTATTTGATATGATACAATAGGACAGGTACTTTGATATCGATCAGAAGGTGATGCGATAGGTAATGCTGGTAAGAGTGATAATCTGAAAGACCGTGATGATAATTTGGGGATATTTAATTAAAAGTGATTGGGTTAAAGCTGACGATGAACAAGTATGAGTAGCAATATCTTTGGGTCTACGTGACAGATTAATAGGAGTATTCTCCACTGTTTCTACAAGGGTCAGGAATGACAATATCTAATTCCGCTATAATACTATAATTAATAAGCCAAGTCGAAGTTACAAGTCAATTCAGTCCGTCGAATTGAGTCTCGATGGGTTTATTCATGTTACAAGTCAAATTCAAAGGGAGGGAAGAGAAGTATATACTTTTATTTATTTGTAATTAATAGTAAACGAGAACTGTCCGTTCCTTTATTGAATAACGAGGGCTTATATACATTTTAATTTTATAGAGCATTTTTCATGAAAATTTAATGAATACTTAAGAATTTAGCATTAATCTAAGATCTTGGGTTTTTGCTATATATTTTTTTGATTGGGGCGCAGAGCTTTATATAAGAAATGTAACAGCGTATACGCGATATTATAATGTGCACGCGATATTGTTATGTTTACGTGATTCACATGCATCAGCCACTAAGCCATTACCAATTACTAAATTTAGATATATGATAGAAAGACAAAGAAATACACAATAATACTAAAACGGAATCGGAATTGAAAAAGATATTTTATACGTATACAATTTAATAATAAAATAGATAGGGAAAATTTAAGCATCCGTTATATTCGTTACACTAGTGACTAGCAATAGATGTGTAAATGGCTTTCTTTATTGAATATACTTATAATTAACTTAAGTAAAACTAAATAAGACATTATTTAATGAAGCAAGATCCAAAGAATTAAACTAATGCTTAAGATTTTAAAGTGGTATTCTGCAAAATACATATGCTAACTCCTGAACAAGATTATTCTATCAAATCTTCAAAGAAATCAACGTGGTATTTATGCGAAGTGCATCTTTTAATATATCTTTTTCAAATTCATTGTTTTCAAGATCTAAATGTTCTAGCGTAGTGTTTTTGCAAAGTGCATTTGCAAATACTTTTCCTCCTGCGGATCCAAAACTATTATTATAAAGATTCAAAGAAATCAATGCGATGTTCTCGCAGAGAGCGTCTGCTAATGCTTTTCCTCCTTCCGGTCCAAGGGAATTATTACAAAGATCCAAATATTTTAGCGTAGTGTTCTTACAAAGTGCACTTGCTAACACTATTCCACCTTCTGATCTAAGGTCATTACGATAAATGTTCAAAGAAATTAGAGTGGTGTTCTTATAAAGAGCATTTGCGAATGCTTTTCCTCCTTCCGGACCAATCTTATTCTGCCAAAGTTCTAAAGAAGTTAACGTGGCATTATAGTAAAGTGCATTTGCTAATTTTTTCCCACCTTCTATTCCAAGATCATTAGAGGCAATTTTCAAAAAGGTTAGCGTGGTGTTCCTGCAAAGTGCATTTGCTAATGCTTTTCCTCCTTTTGGTCCAAGACTATTATAATTAAGATTCAAAAAGGTCAGAGTGTTGTTCTCACAAAGTGCATCTGCTATTGCTTTTCCACCTTCTGGTCCAAGATTGTTCGATTCAAGATTCAAAGAAGACAGTGCGTTATTCGTGTAAAGTGCGTTAACTAATGCCTTTACCCCTTCTGATCCAATATCGTTATGACTAATATTCAAAGAAGTTAATATATTGTTTAGGTGAAGTGCGCTTGCTAATGCTTTTACACCTTCTAATTTAATTTTATTACAACCAATATTCAAAGAAGTTAACGTGGCGTTCTTGCCAAGTGCATCTGATAATGCTTTTATCCCTTTTGGCCCAAGATCGTTACCATAAAGATTCAAATCTTTCAGGGTATTGTTCGTGTAAAGTGCATCTGCTAATGCTTCTCCTCCCTTTGATCCAATATTATTGGAATGTGACCACATTCCACCACTTCCACAAAGATCCAAAAAAGTCAGTGTAGTGTTATTGCAAAGAAACTTTGCCAACATCTTTGCCTCTTCGTCACCAATCTGGTTATCTCGAAGGGCTAAAGAGGTTAGGACAATGTTCTTATCAAGAACCTTTAATAACTTTTCCACACCGTTAAATCCGAGTTGGTAGGATCTGATATTTAAAGAAGCCAAAGTAGAATTCCGGGAAAGAACTTTTACTAATTGATCAATCGTCATAGGGTTAAAAACGCCACGATGATCTAGATCAATTGAGGTGACGGTTTCGTTCTTACAAAGGTTCTTACTTATTAATTGATTGCAAATAAATTCGTCAATGTTTAAATGCTTAAGACCACCGGTTCTTATAAGCATTGCAATCAATGAACAACAGACCGCTGTTTCCAACTCGGATCCCGGTTCATATTTTTCATGACGAAGCCAATTCCTGACACCGTCATAAAAGGAATAGCCGACATATTTGATATAACTGGCGTAGTCGAAGAGCGGTGATTTTTTGTTACTTTCAAGATTAATGTTAAATGGGATCAATTGTGTTTGCTCTTCAGCATTTAATGATAAAAGGCATATTTTGATTATTCTGATGTCAGCTAAGTAGTGGGCAGGTTCGCCCCATAGTATTGGAATAACAATCCTACACCACTGTCGGCTTACAAGTGCACATGACAATAAGTGCATAAAGTTAAATCTGAGACAATTAAAGATTGCGAAGTAACATTCTATGGGGAGTTGGATCATATTTATATAGTTTTTAACTGTTAACAATAACAATACTACAGCAAAGAACGATGTGAGAAAAAATTTTTAGTACATTAACTCGATAATGCGCAGTATTATATGATTGATTCCGTTACACTAAATTACAAATTTGTACGCGCTAGAGAAAATTGGTTTCTTCATAATAGATCCTCCGCTACATTGTGGATCAATAAATATGAATATTTGTAAATGGGGTGAAATTATTCTTAATTAAAAGTTTTTGTTGAAAATTTTGAAATTATTTGATGGTGAAATTAGTTTTTCAATATTAAAAATTAATTAAA